AAGCCACAAAATATCTGCTAAGAGCGGAGACTCCTCTACTGATTCAGATGTTCTGATGAAGGTGAACAGAAATTCTGCAAACAACTTCAAACCCACAGTGTGAAATGTTAGCCAGGCTGAAATTTGTTTTCTAAAAAAACATAACACATCCACACTGCTACCAGAAAAGGAAGAGATAAAATGGAAAAGATACGTGACTATCAAAGACAGAGACCCTGGATTTAAAATCTATCCAACTACAAAAACAGAGCGGCAACCCTGTGGATACTTTTTCACCAATGGAAAAATAAGAATGATTCTTCAACTCATTTTCAGAGACCCAAGAATAACGGGGCAGAACTGTGGGTAATGCGTATAAAGGGGAAGGAAAAAGAACTTCTAAGTTTCAAAAATCTGTGAAGAAAAGGGACCACAGAACTGTCACAGGATGAAGAGCACTATACCTGTGCCTGCATGTAGCTCTTTATGATACGTGCACTAACTGGCATCCCAACACTTGGTTTGCTTGGGGACCCCCTGTTAGAGCTCATGGTCTGATTTATGTAGCAGGTCGAGCCTGTGTAAGTAGGTGTAATCAGGGTTAGTACCTCTCGTGTGTTTTTTATGTACAGTATCATCCCAATCTCTTCCTGATGCTATTAACAGAATATTTCAGACTGATGTCTTAGTCTATTTTCTGTTACTATGAAAAAATACCCAAGACCAGGAAATTTATGAAAGATAACGGTTCATGAGCTCACTACTGTGGAATTTGGGAAGTCCTAGAGCCAAGCCAACATCTGTTCAGCATCTGGCAGAGGCCTTTTTTTACTGTATTAGAACATACCAGAGGACAGCACATGGTGAGATAAAGCAGGCATGTTAGCTGGGTCTCCCTGCCTCCTTTTCTTATTAAGGCACTATTGTCACCCTGGGGATTCCACCTGATAACCTTATTTACTTCAAATTACCTCCAAATACCACAAATACAGGACACTAAGGATTCCATTTCCAACACATGAATCCTGGGGAACATTCAGCCACAGGAACAGAGTCATTTGTAAATACTGGGAATTTATGTCTCGCAGTCCTGGAGGCTGGGAAGCCTAAATCCAAGGAGCAACCGTAAGTAACATCGTGCTCTGCCCCGCCTGTGACACCTGGCTGCTGTGTCTTCCCCTGGCAGGAAAACAGGAGGAAACCGGAGCTAGGAGACTCCCTCAAGCCCTGCTCAAGGGCCCCAATCCCCTTTCCCTCTGCAAAGCCCACCACTTACAGGTATTGCATTGGGTTGGTTTGTTTTTTACTAGCACATGTTTGAAGCAGTGTGGCTACTTTGAAGAACAGTTGCTAAAAGAATAAAATACAGGATTATCACATCAACCAGCAATTTCACTTGTAAGTATAAATTGAAAAGAAATGAAAACATAGGCTCACGAAAAACCTTGCGCACAGTCGGGTGTAGCAATACATACCTGTAATCCCAGAACTCCAGGAAGCTGAGGCAGGAGGATTGCAAATTTGAGCCCAACCTGGGCAGTTCAGCAACATCAGGAGACCCTGTCTCAAAATTTTAAATATATATATTTTAAAAGGGGTAGGGATTGTATCTGAGTGCAAAAGCCCTGGGTTTGATCCCCAGGGGAGGGAAAAAAAAGCCTATGCACAAGCACAACATTCAAAGCAGCATTATTTTAATAGTCAAAAGCAACATAAATGCCTGTCAACTCATCACTTGCCAAGGAGTAAACAGAATGCTACTCAGTCATGGAAAGAAATCAAGTTTTGTTCTGTGCTACAATAAGGATGAGCCTTGAAAATATTATGCCAAGTGAAATAAGCCACACAAAAGATAACATATATGATTCCACTTATATGAAGCATTTGAAATGGAAAATCGGGGCTGGGAGATAGCTTGGGGGTCTAAGCACCTGCCTGGCAAGTGCAAGGACCTGAGTTCAATTCCTGGTACCACCGGTAGTACCAGCCCTGGACCCATGCAGGCCACAGAAACCGGGCGTTGTGGTGCACGCCTGTAATCCCAGTGCTGGGGTGACTGAGACAGGATCACTACGAGTCTGAGCTGCATAGTGAGATCCTGTCCCAAATAAATAATTTTTTAAAAAGAAGGGACAAAATGGAAAAATCCACCAAGGTAGAGATAGGTTAGGAGACAGGTAGGGAGTAATGAGAACTGACTGCCAGCGGGCACAGTTGCTCTTTGAGAGTGATAAAAATGTTCTAAAATCTATGTAGCCAAACGTGGTGGTCCATGTCCATAAGCCCAGCCCTGGGGAGGCTGAGACAGGAGGATCACTATGAGTTCTAGGACAGCCCAAACTACATAGCAAGATCCTGTCTCAAAAAACTAAAATAAAATAAAATCTATTGTGGCGGTGGACAGAAAATATGCTATGAACAAACTAAAAACCCCTCAGTTGGGGGCTTCGAATACATGGTCGTGACTTAGATCTCAATAAAGTCATTTTTAAAAACCACATGAATGTGTCGCAATGGAACAAATGGCTTGTTGAAAATTTGTTGAAATTTATAACGTGGAGGAAAAACAGTGCTTTGTGCACAGCTGGAGCATCAACTTTCAACCGGGCAAGACAGATGTCGTCGGTGACACAGCCACACAGGTGTCAGCTCAACGCCATCTCGACTCTTTAATGCCCCCAGCCCTAGACTTCAGCCTCTGGCCCCTGCAGGCCGCGTAGCTCGCCCTCCACCTGCAGGTTCTTCGCAATCTCAGGGTCTCCCCTTGATTTGGTGGATGAGGACACACAGGTCCAGAAGGACTTGTCAGGGCCCCCCGCTGAGCCACTCTGCAAGTTTCTGGAGAAGCTGGGACTAGGACCTATTATGAACCTTGTTTCTGTTCCACATCCACTAACTGGATCTTCCAGCGTGGCCAGGAAGAGCTCCCCAGTGCCTCAGCATCCACCAGGACCCCCGTACAGCAGAGAGGTCGGAAAGTCGCTGTTCATGGGGGAGGGACAAGAGATGGATCAGTTCCGAGAAGGCAGCATGAACCCCTTCTTGTAAGGGGGGGAGGGGGGAGGAGGAAGACAGAGAATCAAGGAATGAGCCTGAGTCGTGACCCACGGGACACAGGGTCACACGTGGTCTGGGGTCTGTGGCTGTTTGTTCCTGTCACAGATGCAGCTGGCGGTGAGAACTGGCCACCCACTTACCCCCTCGTCCCCACCTCACATCTCAGATGACTGTGCCCCCCCAGCTGACCATGAGTCACTCCACCCATGGAAACCTCCGTACCTTAATACCCCACAGGGCTGGGCCCACCAGCACCTAGGGCTCAGGCTAGGCTGTAGGTATGGGCAGGAAGTAGACACCCACTGCTCAGTGATGAGGACAGTCACATACGCTGATGCTGGCCAATGGCGGACTGCTGCTCCAAACACTTTGCTCACCTGACAGACCTTGTCACCACAGCCACCACCAGTGTCTACCTCACCCTTATCCCATTTCTGGATGAGGAGACAGGCACAGGGAAGCTAAAGCACCTTGCCTGGCCACTCAGCTAACGCCTCACCACAATACCTAGACCCCAATAGTTCTCAGCTCCTGCCCCTGTGCCTGGCACATCTCCCTCGAGCAGGCGGCAGCAGGGAATGCCCAGAGGCCAGCTCAGCCCCAGCTCAGGCACGCAGAGTTCAAGAACAAAGGCTCCAGCCCTGTGCTCACCCTGCTGTCTGTTCCAGGGCTCCCATTCTTGAGGTGGCTCTGTGTGGCAGATGCGCCTCTGGCCATCACCACTTACTTCCTGAGGGCTGTCATGGGCCGGAAGAGGAGGTAATGACGAGAGGGGGTGGTGCTGGTGGAACCTGTGGCCACAATTTGAGGGCAGGCAGGAAGCAGAAATAATACAAAGGTGCTGGGGGCTGACAGCACCATTTCAGGCCACCTCTGGTGGGGAGCAAGGGTGTCCTCCGACAGCGTCTCTTCAGATTCAGGTAGGGAGAAAGTTGAGGGGGACCTAGGGGCCCTGGGAGTGAGTGGGGTTACTGCTTTGGGACAGAACACGAGGAAACAGGAAATTCTGTGATGCCCCTATGACAAGAGACCTGGATGTCAGGAGGCCCCGATCCCCCACTGCTAACTCAGCGGGCAGCCCTGTGCCCACTCTGGGCCTCAGCGTCCTCACATGTGAATGAAGAGGTTTTACAATCTGCAAAGTCCCTTCCAGTGCTGATGACCAAAGCTTCTACAGTCACTAGACAGCCTCCTTGGGCCAGTGAGATGAGGGCCAGGAGGAGCTGGGTTCCCTGGGGTAATTAAGGTCACAGGCGGTGCTGGCCCCCTAAGCTGAGACCATAGGAAGACTCTTGTCCTGACTCTCTTCTTGAACCCTCATATCGCCTGCATTCCATCTTCAAGTCACTCCTTTGTATAGGTGGGGCCCAGCTGGAATACAAGGGATGTACACAAAGCTTGGTAGGAGCCAGCAGAGGAGGCCTGCGCACCAAAGCAAGGTGCGGGTACACCAGCGGCCCTCGGCCATCCAGGGTACAGCTGATGCTCAGAGGGAGAGTAAGGGCCACACGGCCTTGGCTTCTTTTACACGTCTGTTAAAGGCTCAACAGGAGAGATCAGAGCTGAAACTGTAGAGCCAACTGGCAGTTCAGGTCAGGCTGCAAAGTATGGGGCCACATGACCCTTCTTCAGGACCTAGGCTTCCCCAGCCCCATCCCCAAAGCTGCCATTGCTACTCTGTCCCTTCTGTGGCCATAATTTCCTTCTCTCGGCAGCAGTTGCATCCTGAGGATCGAGCAGTCAATTCAGATGTCCATTAGGCCTTAAATAGCAGGGGACTCCTGCTTGCTATGAGACTCTAGGCAAGACAGCTGCCCTCTCTGGGCAATGTAGGAGGTAGACCAAGCCTGCAAGGAGCACTCTCTCTGGCACTGAGTAACTAAAGAGAATCTCAGTCTGTCCCTACAGTAGCCCACAGTTGGGGTGGAGACATCAGATAACCCCTGCCCCTCTGCTTACAGCTTCCCAGGCACCATGGGGGCCCACCTGCTCTTCCTTGGCATTCTCCTGGTGCTGCCCCGACCGGCCCCAGCCCCCTGCTTCACAGCTGGACCTTCAGAGTGCAAACAGCAGCTCAGCTTTGTGCCGGGTGCATGGCTGGCGGGGGAAGGTGTGGACGTGACCAGCCTCCGCCGCTCACGCTCCTTCTCTGTGGACACCCAGAGGTACCTGCGGCCAGATGGCACCTGTACCCTCTGTAAAAATGCCCTGCAGGGAAACACTGTTCAGCTGTTGCCCCTGGCGCTGGACCACTGGCGTGCAGAGGGCCCTGGCTGCCAGCGCCATGTGTCCAAGGCCAAGGTCAGCTCCACAGAGAATGTAGCCAGTGACTCGGCTTCCAAAATCACCAATGACTGGAAGGTGGGGCTGGATGTGTCCCATTCCGTCGGCAACTTGCACGTGTCCGTGGCTGGCTCACACTCCCAGGCAGCCAACTTCGCAGCTGAGAAGAGCCACAATGACCAGTACAGCTTCAGCATGGACAAGGTGGAGTGCCGCCTGTACAGGTGAGGCTGGCAGGCCCTGCCCTTGGAAAGCGGGTGGGACTTCAGGGGGTGCACAGAAACTCCACAGAGACAATGTGCAGACATGGCGGCTTCTTCCAGCAGGAGGCAGCCACAGTCTTGGTTCTCAGCTCACGGCTCCGTGGCCTCTTCCATCCTCCAAGCCCCAAATCTGGGCAGCCCAGTGAGGAAGCATGCAGAGGGCATGTGAGCATCCCGGGGGCCTCATTCAGTCATGCTTGTGTGGCCCAGGCAGCCATTGTCACTACCCCCACCAGGAGCCAGCAGCCTGGGTCCCAGGTTCCACACTGGGGCAACCCCACACTCACCCTGTGTGCTCCACTCCCAGGCCACACACCCTGCACAGTGCGGCCAGACACCTCTTGCCTGCATGCCCAGAGTGATCAGGAGTCCAGGCACGTGGGCCTGATCAGAGGAACAGAAGGCTAGGTGAAGGCCCCGTCACAGCTTCTGAAGCTGTCGCTCTGCTTACCATAAGAAAAGAAAAAAGTTTAAATTCTATTTTGAAAAAGAGGAAATACCTACACAATAGGCCTAGGTGCCCAAGGAGCACCAGGGCAGGCTTCCTGCCAGCTTAGCAGCCCAGAGCTTAGTTTTGGAGCCAAGGGCCCCTGGTTAAGTCCCGTTCTACCCTCACACGCAGCCTTGGCAATCTGGAAGGAGTTACTGAATGGCCAAAACGCTGCCCCCCGGTGAGCCTACTACTCTTCTCTCTCCTCAGTTACCGCCTGGTGCACACCCCCCCACTCCACCCCGACTTCAGGAAAGCCCTCCGGGACCTGCCTCCCCACTTGAACTCCTCCACCGAGCCTGACTACCACAGGCTCATCTCCAGCTTCGGCACACACTTCATCCGGGCTGTGGAGCTGGGTGGCCGCATCTCGGCCCTCACCGCCCTGCGCACCTGCGAGCTGGCCCTGAACGGGCTCACGGCTGACGAGGTAGGCGACTGCCTGACAGCCGAGGCCCAGGTCAGCATTAGCAGCCACTCCAGTGCCTCATCTGAATACAAGGCCTGTGAGGAGAAGAAGAAGAATCACAAGATGACAACCTCCTTCCACCAGGCCTACCATGAGCGCTTCTTTGAAGTGGTTGGCGGGCAACAAGAATCCATGTATGATCTGTTGTTCGGAAGCAAGGCTGGGCCTGAGAAGTTCTCCGCCTGGGTGGCCTCACTGCGCAGGAAGCCTGGCCTTGTAGACTACAGCCTGGAGCCCCTGCATGTGCTGCTGGAAAAGCAGAATCCGCGACGGGAGGCGCTGAGGCAGGCAGTGAGCAGGTACCTGATGGGCAAGGCACGCTGGAAGGACTGCAGCCGGCCCTGCCCGCCAGGGCAGCAAAAAAGCCCCCACGACCCGTGCCAGTGTGTGTGCCACGGCTCAGCGGTCAGCACCAAGGACTGCTGTCCAAGTCAAAGGGGCCTGGCCCGGCTGGAGGTGTTTATAGTCCAAGCTAAGAACCTGTGGGGGGACTGGATCACCGCTACGGATGCCTACGTGAAGGTCTTCTTTGGCAAGCAGCAATTGAGGACCTACACGGTGTGGAACAACAACAACCCCAAGTGGGAGACCCGGCTGGACTTCGGGGATGTGGTCGTGGCCCCAGCACAGCCTCTGAAGGTGCAGGTTTGGGATGCAGACAACGGCTGGGATGATGACCTCCTCGGCTCTTGTGAGCGGTCCCTGACATCTGGCTCACACACGGAGGTGTGCCACATGAACCATGGGGACCTGACATTCCGCTACTATGTCAAGTGTCTGCACCACCTGACTGGGGCCACCTGCATGCAATATGCCCCACAAGGGCTTATGGGACAGCCTCCAGGGAACCGGAGTGGGGCTGTTTGGTAACTGCATGGGTTCTGGGAGGGCCAGAGAGCTCCAACAGAGTGTCCACTGTGGGAGCCAGGGCCGGTCCTCATGTTCCCACCCCGGTGGCAAACAGTACTGGGGGTTGAATGCAGGGCTTCATCCATGCAAAACACACATTCTACTGCTGAGATGCACCCCAAGCTCTTATTTTATTTTGAAACAGGGTCTCGCTAAATTGTCCAAGGCTGGCCTTGAGCCTGTGATCCTCTTGCCTCGGCCTCTGAGTAGGTAGTGTCGTAGGAGTCACGGCTACACTCAACAGACTTCTCGTGAGGTGGCTGAGTTGACGGGCCAACCCTGAATCTCTGCCTCCAAACTGCCTCAGCGCTCCTCCATTTTCCAACCCGATAATCCCTGCGAAGAGGACTACAGCTCCAGCCGGAGGTCCGGCCCTGGCTGCTGGAGCGCATCCGTAAGGCCCTTCTCTCTTGCAGCCCTTTCTTTGCTGCAACCCTGTCTGGCCAGAATTTTCTCATTGTATTAGCGCTGACTCCTCCCACCCTGGTTGCTCTGTCTGCTGTCTCCCATGTGGCCTTTCAGAGAAGTCAAGGACTGTCCTGACCTGTGTCACTGTGGACACAGCTTGAGAGAAGGCCAGTAAATATGTGATAAGCGTGATAGCAATGGTGGTGTTGTGGCAGAGGAAAGGACAGGGACCAAACACACTGCTGGAGACAAACTTCTGTATCAGCAACCCAGGCAAAGCATTCAAGCAGGTAATAAAAATAAATTTCTTCTACTTTCATCGGAAATGTGGAGATCCAAAATCCTTTGCTTTGCTTGCCACCCTCGGCCCTAAGAAAGCACAGCGCAAGCTTGGTGGGAGATGGCGACCACCCTCAGCTCCTGCGAGATAGCACAGGCCCGGGGGCTATAGTGGGCAGGAGAGCACAGGGCTTGTCCCTTGGGGGCTGGGGGGCTGCAGTTCCACCATGACCCAAACATGCTGGACAAGAGTATGACGCCCGTGCTGCCAAGCTTCTGGGTCCTTGAGGTAACCAGAAACCTCAGTTTGATTTCTAACCATGGCAGCTAATTTCACTGTGAAAATAAACCCATGTGGACACATGGTACAAGCCAAAGAGAACTTGTATGTGGGCCGGCATGGATCCAGGCCCGCCAGTTAGGAAAAGCTGACTTCCGGCAGAAGCCAGCACCTGTTCTCACTCCAGCTCATGGGAAAACTGTGGTTTCAACAAGGTGATCTCAGAGGTCCCCGAGCGTGGCCTACAGTAAACCCGAGAGTCTCAGAAAGAGTAGGCTTTGTTTCGTGGGTCTGGGGCACAAGGCCCATGGAGTCGGGCTAAGTGTCAGGACTGCAGGCCCCATCCAGGGCCATCACCACAGGGCTCCCCAAAGCTGCCTACAAATTAAGATCTGAGGTTCCTGCTGGACCAATGGGCTCAAAGTCAAGCAGTGACATTGTACTGACACTAAATCCCCAGGCAGGACAGGAGGGATTAGCTTGTCTAGGAGACCGGTGGAAATCACTGTTCTTACGCGTTTCCACGATTCCATTCGCAGCCACACACAAAACAAAAACACAAGAGAGGCCTTGAAACTTCATGCCAGCTCTTGGGCTTGTTGAAATCAACATGGGAAGGCACAGGCAGAGCGGGCAGGGCTGACTCACCAAGACACTCCTTCACCTGGGCCTCAGTTTCTCCAAGGGGACAATGTTCATTTTACTTCCTTTACATGACTATTTCAAAAAGAAAACCTTTCCTGCTGCAGTAGAAGAGGGCCTGAGAGGTCATGTGACTAGCCTTCCTGGTTTCACATATTGGGAAACTGAGGAACAGAAGAAGAAGGGATTTACTGTGGCCAAAGTTGGTGGCAGGAAGAGCCAGGTGTATGAGTCCTGGGCACCACACTTTGAGCACAGTTTTGGAGAAAGATGCAGGGAACAGGAAAGGGGAGTCTTAGGGGAGAAAGGATGGGGTGACCAAGGAAAAACGACAGCTGCTGTTGTGGAGGGGCAGCTACAATGAGGGCCCCAGCCCCCACTCAAGGTGCAGCGTGACATTGGCCTCTGTTCCCTGTGGACACCTCGTCACACCTGAGCCCCATCTGTTTGAAAACTGCATCCTCTGCCAGGCCTTCCACGGCCCTCTGAGCTGTGCCGTCCTGCCCCGGCCTGGGGGCTGGCCAGGCTGGCCTGTAATTGGGCAGGAGATTGGGGTGGAGTACAGAGGTGAGGGTCCCTGCCCCCTCGTGGCCTGGTGCAGTGGCTGTGGGCTGGCTGCTGCTCTCCAGGAGGCTTCTGCACGTCTCCTTCCCAGTCTCAGGAACAACCCCTCCATTCATCCCTTCAGCCCTAGGGTGGTCACAGCTCTGTGGCTGCCAATCCTGAGTGACCACACTTCCTATCGCTCCCGCCCCCACAGCCCCAGTCTTTGTAATAAATAAACCATCTTCACATCATCATAACTGGAATTACAACGTGACCCTGTGTGGCACTCCACCAGAGTCCTGGTAGGCCCAGGGATGCCGGCTCCCTCCTCACAGCCACTCACAACCCACTCTAGTTACACCTCTGCTTGCAGGGCCCCCTGGGCCCCACCTCAGTGGAAAGCCAGAAGTGCTGGGACAGAGCTGAAGAGATAGCTCAGCAATCTAAGTGCCTGCCTGGCGAGTGTAAGGACCTGGGTTCAATCCCTGATATCGCATGCAATGCAGGCCCTGGAGCCTCAGGCGTGTAGTGTCAGCCACCGAAACCAGGCGTGGTCATGCACACCTGTAATCCCAGCGCTGGGGAGGCTAAAACAGGAGAATTACTACAAGTTTGAGCTGTGTAGTAAGACCCTGTACCAAATAAATCAATAGGTAAATAGATAAGTAGATGGATACATAAATAAAGAGGTTCTGGGGCGCAGTATCAAGGTCCAAAAATCTCCAGCCAATGAGTGGTAAGCATTGATGGGCAAACTCCCACCACCCTCCTGCTGGGGACCAACTGAGGGGCACACTCTATGCCAGCTCCCAAAGTCCTCAGCTGTCCTGAGGTGACCTGCATGACCACACACACTTTCCTGGCAGCCTCTCCCAATTTAACTGTCCTGCTCCTCCACTGGTGCTTTCTGGGATCACCTCCCAGGGAAACCACCCACCCTGGAGCCCGTCTCAACTCAGGCCCACACCGGCCACGTCACTGCCTGGTTGAAGTGTTTCGAGTGGCTGCTGGGTAGAGCAGGAGCTCCCTGACTCGAGCCACACGCTGACATTCCTTCAACTCCACCACCCTCACTCAGCCCGCCCCACTGAGGTCATTCATTATGGGCTCCTCTGCTGGCCACAGTCTTTCTGGCTCTCCACACAGCCTGGGACCTTTCTCCTCTGCCCTAAGTCCCCGTCCACCTTCAGGTCTCAGCTCTCATGGTAACTTCCTCCAGGAAGCCTTCCATAGCTGCCACATCTAGGTCTTGCTCTCTATCGCTGCCTCCAAGGGAGCTGGGTTGGGTTTGGATGGAGCCCTAAGTTCAGAACCAGCCCTGAGGTGGCTCCATGTTCTACATGTCCATGTTTATTTCAGTCTCCAGTGAGGTAAGGGAGAAGAACCATTGAATCCTTTCCATTTGCCTCACTTGAATTTCTTGGACTGAGTTTAGTCTGTGTGACAGGGTCCCCTCACTGTCTTCCTGTGGAGGAGTTGCACACTCCCCAGGTGGAGGTGCCGGCCACCCCAGGGCCTGTCCTGAATGATGCTGGCCTCTTCTCATGACTCCTGAGTCAGCCCCAGCCAGGACAGGTCTTTCTCTGGGGCAGAGCTGGTGGCTTCTTGGCTTAGGTAGGTTCTGGTCCCAAGGGAGAAGCCACCCCAGGACCCCTGCCCTCCCCGATGAGGTCCTTTCCAGCCACAACTTCCCCAACCCGGCTGGGCACTGCACTCCTGGGATCAGGAGAAGACTGATGTCCACCTGTCACCCCGGTAACGTCGGTCACCAGTGACATTCACATGGGTGGTTAGGGTTAGGTAAATCTCAGTGTCAACAGGACCCTGGAGAGCAGCCAACCGGGGCTACAGAAGGACCCCAGCTCACATTCACCCAGGCCCAGGCCTAGAGCTCAGTCCCTTGGACCCTGGCTCTGGCCCAATTCTGACTCCACGCCTCCTCAGCTCTCTTGAACATGTGGCAGCCATATAAAACTGCTCTCCAGGCCCAGGCTCCCAGCCATACAGGAACAGGCTAGAGAACAATAGCTATGCCGCTTTCCAGCTCGAGGGTCTCCGCCCAGATCCATGAGCTGCTCATCCTGCACGCAGCAGCAGACCTCTGGCCCGCCCCCAAGGCCCATCTCCACCCACCCACGAGCACCACTGTTCCGGGCCCGTAGGATGGTGGCTTCTCCTGCCTCTCCCTTCCCACGGGCCACTCTCCACCCTGGCCAGCAAAGAGCAGAGCAGCTGCTGGTGTCCTGAGGGTTACACTCAGGATCTGTTGTTTACCATGGAGTCTCAACAGCACATCTGGACCACAGTTAATCACCACAACAGCTGGGACCACGGTTCATCTTGAGCGAGCAGCCACGTCAGCGCTTTGCCCCAGGAAACCCAAACTTCTTGGAAGACTGCTCAGTTGCAGAGCTAGGCTGACCCAAGGCTGATGCCCGTGTGTCCCTCTCCTTCCTTGATGCTCCGTCTGCCATGGCAGGACACAGTAGTCGAAGGAGGACATGGCCACCACTTCCCCCCTCGCCCTCCAGAGACCATGTGGGCCCTGGGTTTCGTGTGAGTCTGTTGTGTAAAGCGCTTTTCCGAGTTGGAGCAACTCACCCCCTTCACATTTATTCTTTTTCTCTCTCCCACAGCAGAAGTGAAGACAGTAAGACCTCAGGTCAGAATGCTTCTGTTCAAGAACTCTTTGGTTTGCAAACAGAAGCGTTCAACCAAAGTTTGTCTCCCTTCCTAAACTCCACATCAGGTGGTGAACACAGCCTCAGCCTGTTCCCGGGATCACGGAACAGAGGCAGTTAGTGAACCGAGGCCCCACTCTAACCATCCAGATTTTTCACGCAGCATGATGTTCTCCAGGCCCATCCGGGTCTTGCATGCATCACAATTCCACTCATTCTTGGCAGAATAGGGGGCCTGTTCATTAGCTCAGTTGTTTAAGTGCCTGATTAAGCAAAGCAGTCAGGCTCAGAATTCTGTGATTCGATCCCCAGATCCTCATGCCTTACCAGTCCTGCCCTTACGGCATCCTGAGCTGGCCAAAAAAAAAAAAAAAAAATCATTCTTGGTGGAATAATATTCACCGGACGTCAACACCACGCACTACTCACCCATTCATCCATCAACAGCCCCTTGGGTTGTTTTCCTTTTGGCTCTGGTGACCAGCTGTGCTGTGAACACTAGCACACAGGATCTGTGGAGTCCTGCCTTCTATCTTTTTGGATGTACTCACACAAGGCAGGAATTGCTGGCTCATGTGGTAGTTCTGTCTAACCTTTTTAGAAGCCACCAAACTCTTTCTCACAGCCTGTCTTTCTGTTCCTGCCATCCCACCCTCAGGATAGGACTTGGGCACAGTGGAGCCCCAAGAGACCTCCTCACATTCCGGCTAAGGCTACATCTACCCCAGGGCCTCCCAGGAACCTCTCCACACCCCTCACTGACCCTCCTCCTGACATCAGCAAGCCCTGGCCAGGAGGGGAGGATGAAAAGCTGAACAGGGAAGTGGGAGTCTAGTACTGGACCTCAGGATAT